TTTTGTTATATTCAAATTTATTCCACCACACCCCATACTTCAGCTTTGCTTGTCCTCAAGCAATCATTTTAGACAAATAAGAAGATTCAGATAGACTAAGAAAAACAATAAAAGATGAAAAAATAAAACGAAAAAGAAAGGTAAAAAGAAAGCAAACTCTAATATTGGGTTGCTTCCCGTCTAACCCTACCGCTCTACGTTTCAGCAGATTCCTCCAAGTCTAACCCTTCTTTAAGCCCTTCTTCCTCTTGCATTCCTTCTTCATATCGCTTAACCTGATGCTTATTGACTTTGAAGCTTGACCTATTTTTACTCCATAGCTCAATCACCCCGCGTGGAAATACATGTTTTATTGTAAAAGGCCCGGTCCAACGAGTGCGTAATTTTCCCGGAAAGAGCTTTAACCTCGAATTGTACTAGAGAACTTTTTATCCTTCCTCAAACTCTTTATTACCCTTCAACCTTGCATCATGCCATCTCTTGGTGTTATCTTTATAAATCAATGAGGTAGTGTAATACTCATTCTTTAATTTGTCCAAGGCATTCATTTGCAAAAGTCGACTTGCACGCAACTCATTCGACTCAAAATTACATCTTTTCAAAGCCCAATAGGCTTTGTGTTCAAGCTCCACGGGCAAATGACAATTTTTCCCATACACTAGCCTATAGGGTGTGGTTCCAATGGGTGTCTTAAATGCGGTCCTAAATGCCCAAAGTGCATCATCCAATTTTTCCGCCCAATCTTTTCGATTATTGCCCACCGATTTCTCCAATATCATTTTAGTGCCCTATTTGTAATTTCGGTTTGCCTATTTGTTTGTGGATGATAAGGTGTTGAAAATCTATGGTGTACCCCATATTTTTGTAACACCTTTGCTAGTTGATCATTAGAAAAATGGGTACCCCTATTACTAATTAACGCCTTTGGCACTCCAAATCTAGAAAATAATTTCTTCAAAAATTTTACCACAACCCTAGCATCATTGGTGTTTAATGCTTGTGCTTCTGCCTACTTTGACACATAATCCACCGCCACTAGAATGTATTTGTTGCCCTTGGATGAAGGAAATGGTCCCATAAAATCCACACCCCATACATCAAAGATTTCACAAACTTGAATATTTCTTTGGGGCATTTGATTTCTTGCCAATATATTACCCGTTCTTTGGCAAGCATCACACTCCCTTACGTGAGTAGCATCATCTTTGAAGATACTAGGCTAATAGAAACCAACATCAAACAATTTTTAGGAGTGTATTGGACCCCATGATGTCCTCCCGCCGGTCCATTATGGCAATGCTCTAATATATCTCGAATTTCCTTTCCAAAACACATCTTCTTATGATTTCATCCGTGCAGCTCCTAAAAAGATATGGCTTCCCCCACAATTACCATCAAATACTCCTCTGGGAAGCTATTTTCAATACCCATGCTGTCTATCTCCTCCCTTTATGGATTTTCTAGTCTAGAAAGATGGTTAGTAGCTACATTCTCCATTCCTTTCTTATCCTTGATCTCGATGTCAAATTCTTGTAGTAATAGCACCCATTGGATCAATCTTGGCTTTGCATCCTGCTTGGCAAGCAAATACTTTGTCACACCTTCGAAATGAACGACGGAAACGTCCGAGGGCTAATGTGACTATCAATTGAAATATGATCACAATGAATATAAATGAATCACAGCATAGACATCCCCATGCATTACATATGACAACCAACATTGTTTACATCAAGTACATTGTTTTACATTACCACATCACATAACATAAATTGGTTAACGACTAACATTGCACAAAAGAAGTTTCGGAAACACGCTTGATGATTCTTCATTCTAAAGGTTACCTGAGAATACAAGTTATT